CCCTTTCAAAGAAATTTTTATTTACAAATACATGTCAGTTTTGACATAAAAAATCTAACTTAAATTTTACATTTTTTTATGAGTACTGCACCAGTCCCCCAAAAAATTTACATAAAAATATAATGTCGGTCCACCTAAAAAGGTTGGCCAGTCAAAAGTTGATATAACTCAAGTTTGAATGTTTTTTAGCTATAGCATCTGTCTATTTCTTATATAAGACAATATAGACTTGTAACATTTCATACAACTTTACATTGTTATTTTAATTTATCTTTTAAAATATTTCCAAAGGAGATTTTAAATCTATTACAAAACAATTTTAATATTTATTAATAAGAAACAGAGACAAACAAAAGAAAAAATATAAATAATTTTTATGGTGTGGATTGCATTAGAATGAGATGCAAATTACTCAAATATTCAATTGAATTGTTACTCCACACAATAATTATAGGGATATATCTTATCATGATTGCTAATATATCGAATTAGTTATCATAGGGTTACTTTCTTGTTATGTACGAAAAGGTCAGTGCAACAAAGAGAGTTCAGAGAAATAAAATATAGGAAGATTTACATACCGCCGAATTCCTAAGAATTTACCTATCTAACACCTAAACTTCAATTTTTACATACATGCCACCTTATCTGTGCATGAAAAGGCGTATTTCACTTTTTAAATGTTAAAATGGCAGTATTTTTTATGTGATATGAAAGATTTGGGTGGTATAAAAGTAAAAAAGTAAAGTTTAGGTGCTAGATATGTAAATATATAAGAATAGGGTGGTATGTATGTAAGTGCCCTGTCAAATTAATATAATCAGTAAGCAAAGAAGAAGAATAGACACATAACCTAAGAAAAAATTCAAGTTCAAGCCAATTGGGACTGACAATGACAAAATCTATGGAGGAAATGTCAGATATCTAAGACAATGTTATTGCCCATAAACGCAGTAAAGACACCTGGATAATCTAGGCGCTAGTTAAACATATAAAACATGGAAAAGTAAAAAACAAAAGGGGCATTGACATACATAACCCACAATTCTTATGCATTTACGTATCTAACACTTAAACATTCATATTTAAATGTATGCTACTCAAAACTTTAACGTCAAGTCAGAAATACCACTATCATTTATCTTTTTAAAAGTGAAACAAACCTTTTCATACATAGGTTTATAACACCCAAGTGTTAAGTATCAAATTTCGGGTATTAGAAATGTAAATGCCTAAGAATTGTGTGGTATGTATGCAAATTTCCCAAACAAAAATTCTGAGTTCAGTAGTAAGTCATGGATTTGTTAATAAAATTCACCATCACGCTAAACATAAAATGATGAAATAGTATTCTGAGAACTAGTTTGAATGAAGTTTCTTTAACTTCAACAATCTACTAATTGATAATTCTCATGACAATTTATATATTCTCACCTAAATAAGAATTAATAAGATTAATGGATTCCAAAGTGTTAGGCTCTACTTACATTATGAGTCAACAAATAAAACAAGCATCTAACAAAATAAGTGATAGCTAGTTTTGCATCGTAAATCCTGTTAAATGAACATAATCTAATCGCAGCTGTGTAACATAGGTATGCAAATTGGAGATTGAATTTTTTGAGAATTAGAAAGATAATATCCAGAATTAACCAAATTAAAATGTGAGAAGGCATAAGATTAGTCCAACATCCATGTTGAACATTAAAATTGCAATCTTTTGTGAGCTCTATGAGAATTGAACTACCATGAAAAATAAACTTGACAAGGATGCCAACATTGCACTGGAGGACAGATTTGTAAAAAAATTGATTTAGAAAAATATTAGCTCGATTTCTATTTCTTTCTCTTTTGTTTCCTCCAAAACAAAAAGAAAGTATCAGAAAAGTGTTTTTTTCAGAAGCCGTTTGTTATATGCTTTCAAAAAGTATTCGTTTTAAAAACATTTGGGAGCAAATTCTCAAAGATTGTTCTGTGTGTTTTTGAAACACTTATTCTCATGGGTAGGGTCGCAGAACATGGCTCAACTCAAGCCTAACTGACAAAATTTTAAACAAAAAGTGCAAAAACATTTCGAGCAATAAATAGCAGAAATGCTTTTTGCAAGGACAAATAAAGCTAGTCTAAAAATGTAAAATAATTACCACATGTGTGACACCATCTCCAGAGTCGATGACAAGACCAGTCAACAATCCTATTGAAATGCAATAAAGATTAATAAGCAACAGTCAGTAAAATGGGAGGGGAAAAGACTTTACATATACGAGCGGGAAATATGTGTTACTTGATCCATTCATTTATTTTCTATTAGGGGCATTTACATGAGGTTTACATATTTAGCAACTAAACTTTCCTATTTACATGCATAACACACATATTTAATATCGCATAAAAAATAACACTCTTACCAACTTTATAAAAGTGAAATACACCTCATACATTGGTTTATAACACCAAAGTGTTATGATTGTAAATATCAAACTTGAGGTGATGGATATCTAAATACATAAGGATTGTGTGGTATGTAAATTTCCGTTTCTTTTATTATTGTTTTATATACCATGAAATCTGAAAGTGATATATGGAACAAAAAAGAAGAGTTAATTCAACAACTTCAAAGATTCGGGGCATCATAATAATAACCTTGAGCATATAATGTTAGAACAGCTTGGATTTGAATGATGACACCAGTGAAATTGTACTTCTCAAACATGGTCTCTATCTGGTATTAACAAGCATACCCAAAAACAAAGTGTGGTTCAGCTAGAAAATCAACAGAGTGAAACTTCTAAAATAGGGGCATGGGGGCATTTACATACATACCAGCCAATTCCTATTTCCTATCTATTTGCATATCTAACACCTGAACTTTACTTTTTGCACTTATACCACCCAAATCATTCAAATCACATAACAAATACCACTTTTGAACTTTTAAAAGTAATATACACCTTTTCATGCATAGTTAAGATGGTATGTATGCAAAAATTGTAGTTTATGTGTTAGATATATGAATACATAGGAATTGAATGGTATGTATGTAAATCTCCAAAATATAATGATATAAGACAGTAGACCAACTTCAAAATTAAGGGAGTCAACTCACCATTTTTTCACGGTTTTTCGAAGGATTAAGAGGAGGGTCTGTGAGTAGAATCTTGCATTCAGTTGGATCTATCTGAAGGAAGCAAAATTCAAAAAAAGAATCATATTATCAGTTTTCTCTGTAGACTTGAATGAATGAATAGAGAAATAGGACACAAAATTCTGAAATTAACAGTAGATAAAAACTGATAAAATTATACTGAAACTAACCCCAATCTGTAAATTCTTAAATATAGAAAGATCGCCACTGATACCTTTAGTTCATTAAAAAATGCATGATCCCACACATGGCCCATATCTTCCCAGTTTTGTACGATTCCATTATTGACAGGATAAGATATATCAAGTTGATTTCTAAAGTCTGCACAAGATTCACCCACAACAATGTCCTGAACAGTCAAAAGAGCAAGAGTTTACTAGAGTAACATGTTAATGAAACCAAGCAGAGGTGCGGAATTTACTAATTTTATTTTAGAAAGATTTATATACGTACCACTTAACCTATGTATTTACATATCCAACACATAAAATTCAATTTTCAAATATATGCCTCCTTACTTATACATGAAAAGTGTATTTTACATTTAGCGGCATTTACATACAGACCACCCAATTCCTATGTATTTGCATATCTAACATCTAAACTTTACTTCTTACATTTCTAGCACCAAAAACCTTCATATCACATCAAAAATACCACCATCTTAACTTCTAAAAAGTGAAATACGCCTTTTCATGCAAAGGTAAGATATGTATGTAGAAATCGAAGTTTAGATGTTAGATATGTAAATGCAAAGGAATTTAGCGGTATGTATGTAAATCTTCCTACTTTTTAAAAGTTAAAAAAGTGGTATTTTTTATGTGATAAGAAATATTTGGGCGGTATAAATGTAAAAATTAGAGTTAGGTGTTAAATATGTAAATACATAGGAACTAGGCGGCATGTATGTAAATATCCGTTTGTTTTAATTTCAAGACATAAAAGGGGAATGAGACTTTTGACCTCAAACCTTCAGCTCTTGTTCAATGAGTGATTCTTCATACCGCAGCATTGGTCTACCAACCACACAAGGAAACACGGAAGTAGGAAAGTTCTCACCAGCAAAACCACACTTCACATACTGCAAGCGTCACAGATCAGTAGAGACTAGCAGCAAAAAAGTAAAAGTGAATTGAAAAAAAACATCATTGCTCGTCCCATATGGAGGACTGTTTCTCATCCTATTTAGGCAGAATTTAAATACACAATTCTTATGTATTTACATATCTCACACCTAAACTTTCATATTTACATAAATAACAGTTTGGTGCTATAAACATATGCATGAAAAGGTGTATTCCACATTTAAAAAGTGGTGATAGTGAAATTTTTTTTGTGATATTAAGGATTTGAGTGCTCTGTGTGCGAATATGAAAGTGTAGGTTTGAGATGTGTAAATACATAAGCATAGTGTGCAATGCATGTAAATGACCCAAAAAGAAAATTTGGAGACTTCAAATACTGTTGTTTTGTTAAAATCCCATTTCAGACTCGTTATTAGTTAATTCAAGATTGTTGAATCACACAATTCATAGCGTTTACCGAATTTAAATGTAGGAAAAAACCCAATTATTAAAGGTGACGTGCCAAACAGTTTTTAGGTTGTGCTGCTCTCAAGATTTACTGAATCTAGCTTAATATGATTTATTAAATCTTACTTGGAGCTAAGCAGTCCCATTACAAGCCAGCATGACCCATTTGATCAGGAAAAGTAGCAGGATTGAATAAGCTAAGAATAATCAAAATCACTTTCGCGATAAGTTAGGATCAAATTCTAACCGCAGAAAAACAAAACTGAAAAAGCCTAAGATCCATGATCCAGCAAAACACCAGTCAATAATGGAGATTTGAGAATGGCTTGAACAAGAGTTATAAGATAATCTAACGAAGATCTGGTGACGGAAAGAAAAGAATACCGATATTGAACGGAGTTGAGAATGAGATTACCCCTGTGCCATTGTCGCAGACGACAACATGTTTGCCATCCATCTCTGAAACAATGACTCCTCCCCTTCCGGTTGAACGCGATCACTCGAGTGGTAAATTCTGGTGAAAATTTGAGTGCATTTGACGCATTAATAACTTTTTTGACCTTATTATTTCAGGTAGTTTTCTAACTTTTTAAAAATTATTAAATAAATATAAAATTTTACATAAATACCAAACGGTTCCCACAATTCTTATGTATTTACGAAGTGAAAATAAACACAATCGTCAAATCATGAACTTGGCAATTAAGCACATTGGGAAATAGTCTCTTTGGCAATTCCCTCTTATTATTGTACATATATCTATCATTAACAAATAATTCTTTAACAAAATTATATTTATTTTTTATTTTAATCCTTTGATAAATACATTTTAAATCATCTTCCCTTTGGAGAGCAAGAGGCCTTTTGCCTGTTGCTTAATTCGCTTATAATCGAAAGAGTGGCGTCTGATAATTTATTTTGAATATAATAAGTTTGTGTCAACAAATCATTTTAAATAGAAAAGTGTTCAGCCACTGTTGTCATCAATTTTTAATGTCACATAGGTTTGAATGCTCTTTTGAGTTTTAAGGAAGCGTATGACGTGCATATGTAACCTCCCATAGCTCGAGGACTCCATAAAACCCTCCATTGTGTGTTTTAAGGAAGATTAGGGTTAAGCGTGTCGCGTCTGTGTGGTGATTTGGGGTGCCTCCTGATGTAATGCTGTTAAAAATTATTTTATTTGAAGTTATAGGATTATATTTTAGTCATATTTGATCTTTCATATCTTACTGATTGTTAAAACCCCTCGTCGGGTGCTTCAATAAAAAATCAGAGTTTTCGGAGCCCCCATTGGCCTCAAGAGAAAGTAGGCATCCCCCTCTAAGAAAGTAGGTGCTAGGCTCGGTGTCGTGGCAGAAGTTCAGGGTGCCTAGGCACTCAAAAGAGCCAGAAAAAGCTCCGGAAACCTGAGAGGACGTAAAGTAGGTGCTAGGGACCCCAGACCAAGCCTTAAGGCTGCCAAAAATGTGGGTTTCTCTTGAATATAGTGAAGATATGAATGGGGGAGAGGAAAAGGTGATGGATGGAACCTATTTGGATCTTTTAGGGAAGGTTTTAGGAAGGAGTTGCATTCCATTTTAGGAAAAAAGACGGAAAAGAGGCTTCTTCAACACTCTTCTTGCATACACCTCCTTTTAAGATTTAAAGATTTTAGAGTTAGTTATTGAGAGGCTAGAGCTTCTTCTTCTTCTTCTTGGAGAGAGCTTGAGAGGGAGGTTTTTACTAGAACTTCCTCTTCTTCTTCTTGCTCAAGAGAGCTTGGGAGGGTTAGCCATCCTCTTTCTTGGAGAGTTCTTTGGGCTTGAGAAGTTGCTCGAGGTGGAGAGCTTTAGAGAAAGGCAAAGAGAAGGTTTTTTTTTTCTTCGTGCATCCCCAACTTACTCTTCTTTTTCTTCTTCCATCAAATCTTCTACGCAGCTTCTTTTTCTTCTTCTTCCACCATTTCTTCAAGTGCGTGAGGGATACTTCTTGGAGTACTTGCACTGTGGAGGAGAGGAGAACTTCATCTCTCCTACTAAGGTAGCAAAGCGTCATCTCTTCTAAAGAGGAAGGAGAGCTTCTTCCTAGCAACTTCAGAGCGTGGAAAAGCAAAGAGCATGCTTCCTCAACCGTCACGTTGAAGAAATTTTTGAATCTCTTGCAATTTCTTTTTCCAGCCCCCCTAGGTTTGGATGATGGAGGGTTTAGGTTAGAGTTTTTGTGATAGAGAAAAGCCCCATAGGTTATGAGCTTTTTGTGTTCCCCCAATGAATCCATGAGTGAAACCTCCCCTAGAACATTAACCTAATCGTCCAGGGGACTAGTAACCTCGTGTTCATTTGGTGGTTTCAACAGTTGATGAATGGGATGAAGCCACTCCAGGCTACAATACGAGGAATCTCTTTTGTCCTCAGTCCCTAAACGATGGAGGCCATGTCCGTACAAGAAATCCTTCACTTTCGCGAAGATTTATCTCACACAGAAAAGCTCATTAACTTTTACCTATTGGCTAGAGGTAGGTCCTCTGTTATAAAGATTAACGAACAATATTTTGTATGTGTTGACATTTTTTTGTCGAGCATCACGTGAATTTTAAAATTGCATCAAAATACTTTATTATGCATGTGTCGTCGAATGTTCGCCCTCTTGATCTACTATGTTGACTATTTTTTGTCGATTTGATCGACTATCACCGATTTGATCGCATAAATTGATCATCCTTAGTCGATCGACCAACCTCATCAGCCTGATCGACACTTTCAGTCGACTTGGTGGATCGGTCGCCACCGGGCCGATCGACCCTATCAAATTTTTTCAATCAATTCATTTGATCAACCGTCACTGATTTAATCACATTAATTGAACATTCTTCATTGATCGACCGCCACCCATGTCAGTCCAATCGACACTTTTCATTGACACGGTTGATCATTCACCACTTGCCTGATCGTCTTGATCGATATTTTCCTATCGATTTGATCGATCACATAAATCAATCATACTTTGTTGGTTGGCTACCCACGTCGACCTAATCGACACTTTACGTTGATTGGGGCCACCAGTCCGCTCGTCCTGGTTGACTTTTTCTTGTTGATTCAATCGATCGATAGTCACTGGTTCAATCACATCAATCGACCATTTGTCATTGATCAGCCACCCACATCAACTCGATTGACACTTTCCATCGACTCGGTCAATCGACCGCCACCAGCCTAATCGTCCCAATGAACATTTTCCCATCAAATTGATCGATTGACTGTCATTGCTTTAATCACATGAATTAAACATCCTTTATTGATTGACCACCTTCGATCGACACTTTCATCAACTCGGTCTATTGGTCACCTTTGAACCGATCATCCCAATCAACTTTTTACTATTGATTCAATTAATCAAATGTCATTGATTTGATCACATCAATCAACCATCCTTTGTTAATAGGCTACCCACGTCGGTCCGATTGACGCTTTCCACCGACTCGTTAGATCGGTCGCCACCGACCCAATCGTCTCAATCAACTTTTCCCATTTATTTGATCGATCAATTGTCACCAGTTCAACCGTGGCAATCAATCACCCTTTGTTGATTGGACTCCCATGTCATCCCGATCGAAACCTTCCATTGACTGGATCGATCGGCTTCCCCCTGGGTGACTGTGTTGATTGATCATTTTGATTGATTGTTGCATTATTGCATGTCTGCTTTCTCACATTGCTTGCAGTGGCACATTCACACCAGCACCTTATTTTGCACTTATGATCAAATGCGCCCATATGCTCATAATGAGTATTCATGCCTCTTATGGGCACACTACTCCATGCATTTTCCTCTTGACATCCTTATGTCATGGTGTGTAACGTCCTGCACGTTGGAATTTGCACATTCCTCACCATTGTACTTTTGCCTACGCATCATCTTGTATGCCCATACTTGCATGCTTGAGGCTTTCAAAGTCACTATTCTTGCACACTCATCTTAGACACTCACATGTTAGCATAGAGGAAGGCTTACACATCAAACCTACCCGACGTGTAATTCTCTATAATGAGAATTACATTACTTCGCCTTCTACGACACTGCTTCAGACTAGCATATGCCTTTTCTCGAGTCACTATTTCTTACACACTCATTTTTGGACTTTCATTTATCTCCTTACGAAATGACTTGCACATCAAGCCTATTCTACGTGTAATTCTCCCTAACAAGAATTACACCACCTCATCTCACGTGTCGTCACCGATATGCACCATAGGTTTGTTACGTCATGTTATTTGGCATGGATCACTCTCCAAAGGCCTATGAATCCTCAAAATGCATGATATGTGTTCACTTGGGCACATTGCTACAACCTCACATGGATCTTGCCTCAAAGGCCTTTGAATCCATTTGGTGCACTGGTCATGTTGCACATAACTCTACCATGGTATGCTATATGTTTTGTATGTGCTTATCACTCACTTATGTGTTTGGTTGCTATTGGGGCAATGTGTAATTCTTCTCCGCAACGTCTTATACTTCAAGCAACCAAGCACAAAATCACTTGTGCGGTGTGCCCTGCATGTGCATCTTTGCACTGCAGCCATATTTGTCGCTAGTATATGTCACCATATACTTGTGACAAATACTTGTTATCTAGTGATCGCTCTTGCTTAGAAGATATGGTCATAATGCAATGGACTACTTTGCATCTATATGTGTGTTCCCAATTTTCTCAATGACAGACCATACTTGCTAGCTGAGTGAACCTTCGGCTGTCACGATGCGGTGGCGAGTATTTCTTCTGAGGATATCGTCGTGGGCAATAGTGGCTATCACACCGTGACTACCACAAGTATGTTTTGTTAAGGTTTTAAGGGTTATAATAGATGCCACTTAGGTTTTTTCTTCCTTAGGTCCTAATTTAAAAATGTAAATAAAAATTATATTTTATTACTCGTGCATCCTATTTTTTAAAATATATTTTGAAACTACTGCATATAGTTTACACCATACACAAGGTCAACAATTTAAAAGTTTTTGTTCATACAAAACCAACACTTAGTGGCCCCTATTAGAAATTTTGGATCCTTAGGATGGGGCCGAGGACGACGACCCTATCAAAACATATGCCAACTTTTTTTACCTACACCCTGCACATATTTAGATGTTGTGACTAAGACACTCTGCGTTAGATGTTGTGTTAGGGTAGAATTAGATTATTAGGTAGTATTTTCAATGTTCTAGTTTTGTTGCTCTAGCCAGACATCATTTTAGTGTTGTTTTTGTGTGTTTACTAAGGTGTGAGACATGCACACTAGTATATTAGAGGCGATCTTCTAGTAGGGAGTCATGCCCAACATAAAGGAGTGTTAATAAGTTAAATTAACTCATTTTCTGCAGTTGCTGCTCAGCTCTCATCCCACCAAACATGGTTCCTTAAATTGCATATAGATAGTTTTTTTTATATTAACCCAAATTTTCATGTCATTTAAAGTCTTTTTTTAATAAATTTTACTATGTACCTTTTAGAATCCATAGGCTCGAGTATATTAGAAGTA